CCTGAGCGAACGTTGTCCACTTCCGAACGAAGTGAGATTTAGGGGGGGCGCAGATTCTGTTTTGAGTGTCAGCGAAGGAGTTGTTTTAGCGAGTTGCTGATGCAGAAAATGTAGTAATTGTAGCAGTGTAGCAGCATCATTTGCATCAGCAAGGTCCAGCCATTTGAGCATCACGTACGACATGCCACTAGGATCTCATCTTTGGATGCTCTTTTGCTCCAGCGGCCTGCTACATTCCTGCGAGCCCAAAACTTGCCACAAAGACAAACTTAGAAGGCCTTGGGTGCTACAACTCTATAGTTTATGGTCACGTTTTGTTGTATTTTTCTACTTTCCTCTCGCCCACTCCATTTTGCCAAGCTGCTCTTTCCCTTAGTTTCGAGGTGAATAAAAGGTGAAGCTAGGGACGTCAGATTGTGCATTGAATGCAGCTGCAGCTTTCAGATAGGTTACGGAACTTTCTATGTGAGCAACCTATCGGGGGGGAGAGGGCTCGGAGAGGGCTCGGAGAGGGCTCGGAGAGGGCTCGGAGAGGGCTCGGAGAGGGCTCGGAGAGGGTGGGTGGGTGTTTGGAACATTTTGTACCTTCGAGGCCCTGGCAGTCTGGAACACCTTACCCTACTTCCCGTGCAGCTCATGCATTTTAGAAGTAGAAGCAGTAGACGGATTTAGCGAAGAAACCTGGTTGAAATGAGGTTTCACGGCTTCGGGTCATGTTTTTTTCCATAACGATCTCTCCGCCCCTGTGATCTCGCAAGAGTCATGATGGAAGGCACCAAAGGAAAAGTGCTCTCGATGTCGGTCGAGAAGGTGGTGATTTTGGGAACAACATTTGATGCATGCTGTGTATTTTGTGTATTTTAGGAGCAAAGACGCTACTAGCAGCAAAGGGCATCGCTACTAGGAGCAAAGACGCTACTAGGGGCTCCTGGCGCGAGTTGCAATTCTGGGTGGTTTTTGTCCAGGTGCATGAAGAATTCGAGAAGGCCCTGGCCGCCCTGGCCCTGTTCAACTGTGTTTTTGACACGTGAAAATGCAAGGCCGTTGACAAGTTTCGTCTGAGACTCAGACAGCTGCGTTGCATCCTGCATGTACAAGATCCATAGATGTGAACAAAAAGAACTGATTTGACATCGGACACGAAGAGGTCAGATTGATGTCATTGCTTATAGCTCCGCTTACGGCTGATCCCGTCGATCGGCCCAAGGGCGGGTTCCTTACGACATTTTTGACGCCGAGACCCCAAGGAACGGCAAGAACGCTACGAACGGAACAAGGAAGCTACTAGGAGCAAAGGGCCTCGCTACTAGGAGCAAGAACGCTACTAGGAACAAGTGCATCGCTTCTAGTAACAAGTGCCTTACTAGTAGTAACAAGGAAGCTACGAACGGGGCTCCTGACGCTTCGCTTTTTGCTCTTGCCTCTCAAGGACGAAGGCGTAAAACAAATCAACAAAAAGTGCGCACAGTTGTTGTGCCTCCAGCGATTGAACAAATTACTGAAGGTCAAGAAGTTTGAGATATTTCTGAGGTCAAAGAAGCAGCATTTATTGAAGACTTTCATGATTTTCGGCTTACGATCCGTGGCTTGGCAATGATTGGCATGTGTTCGACTCAGGTTTCCAACAATGTAAGTCGGTTGGTGCTCTTCAGAGAATATCGCTAGTAGTAACAGGTGCCTTACTAGTAGTAACAAAGAAGAATATGTCATGTTTGAACTGAAAAAGTGGGGACAAGAGAAACACACCAAGCATCTTCAGACCTTGACATGAAGGCCTGTAATTCTTTCTATGCTTGTTACTTTTTTGTTTCATGGTGGTTTGCAATCGTTCTTTGCCCACAATTTTGCACGCTTTCTTTTCCCCCTTTCAATCCGCTTCTCTGACATGTGAGGAATGCACCACATGCGCTTGCAAAGTGAAGCATTCTTGAAACCAAATCAGTAACAAGAAGCTACTAGGAACAAGTGCATCGCTACTAGTAACAAGTGCCTTACTAGTAGTAACAAGAAGCTACTAGGAATTCTTGAAACCAAATCATGTTAGACTTACCTTAATTCTTTGACTTAGCTTACGGCCGGGCCGCCTACGGCCGTACCTCCAAATCGCAAGGTGACCTGGATCGGCGCTTGGGCTCCGTTTTGGCTGCGGCCTTCCACGACCAAAACACCTTGCACGGTCGCAGCAAGCTCCTCGATGCCTTCGAGGCGTCGTTTCGAGCTTGTCTTCTTCATTCCATTCTTGTTTCTAATAGCTTCTTGTTACTACTAGTAAGGCACTTGTTACTAGTAGCGATGCGCTTGTTGCTAGTAGCTGATTGTTTCTATTAAGGTGCTGGGCCACGAGCCCGTAGCTTCCTTGCTCCTAGCTCCTAGTAGTCAGGAGCTCCTAGTAGCGTCCTTGCTCCAACTAAGGCCAGGAGCCCCTAGTTGCTTTTTCCGAAAGAATGCTTTGTGTGACTTTCGTCTCCGTTTCTTTTCTTTGCATTTTTCGTTGACAAGACTCCTCCTCCTTGTGCGTCGGTTCCTCTTTCACAGCGGCCTTTCTCCGGCCTTGGGCATTCGGCTCTTGACCGGTGTGTGTCTGGCATGTTTCGTCACGAATGACGATAAAATGCGGAATTGCCTTTGGCTTTGTCATCCGATAGGACCCCCAACATCAACATTCTGCTTGAGACCTAGACATACCTAGACATACCTAGACCTCCCCCCCAACTCCAGCCTTCCAGCCTGGTCCGTTCTGGTTCCCTCCCCACGTTGTGGGAACATGGACTCCCACACCAAGGCGAAGGTGAAAGCGCGAAACGACTCCTTCATCACATCATCACACCATCAGAAAAGCCAGAAAAAGAGGAAGACGGTGTTTGAGACAAAGAACGAAACACACGGGTCTAAAACAGGTCCCAAAGAACGAGTCTAAAACACCGAAGAACAGGTCTCAAGGAAGAAAAAGAAAAAACGAAAAGGTCCAAAGAAAAGAACGGAAAAGAACAGGTCTGAACACAAGAAGACAAGGTCTAAACCAAGAAGCAAAGAAATGGTCTTAAGAGACAACATTGTCCAAAAAGGAAACGCAGAAGAAGATGTCTAAAGAAAACACACATATTAACAAAGTCTAAAGACAAAAAAAACGAATAGGTCTAAAGCCTACCAAAGAAAACAATACAGAAGAAAATCACCAAAGAAAAAGGAACACGCAGAAGAAAAGGTCTAAAGAAACAACAGATGGAAGAAAAGATGAACAGACAAACAATAAGAACCGGCATGAAGAACAAATACAACGGTCTAAAGAAAAGAATGCAACCAGACGAAAAGGTCTAAAGAAAACACTGACGAAACGGTGGAAAGAACAAGAGAAAAGAAAACAGTCAAAAGACAAACCAGCTCAAAAGAGCAGGTCTTGAACAAGACTATGCGCAACAAAGGATCTAAACAGAAAATATAGAGGTAAGAAACAGTCTGAATAAAAATACACAAAGAAGAACTGGTCTGAAGAAGAAAAGATAAACACTGAAGAACATGTCTAAAGAAAAATCAGACACGGTCTAAAGACGAAGTATAAAGGTCTAAAGCAGAAGGCCATGAAGGAAAGGTCTAAATGAAAGAGTACAGAAAGAAGAAATGAAAGGACGCTACTAGGGGCTCCTGGCATCGCTACTAGGAGCAAGGACGCTACGGACGGTATTGACGTGACATTCATGTGAGCAACTTTCACGGCAAGAGCAAAAGGCTATCGACTTTAACCACGGAACAGTCTTAGAGCACTGATGGAATGAACGCAATACCGACCTTTGGTTCACAGGATGCTTCCAACATGTTTCATTTTGAACGAGAACTAAAACGACAACGAAACAATAAGCAGCCTGCAAGAACAAGTGAAGATCAAGTCTCCAATTGCCGAGGTGAAGTTTAAAAGGTGCGGCTGCACCCATAGTAGCGTTCTTGCTCCTAGTAGCGATGCCCAGGTGTTTCACTGCGACGATGACATATTGGTGAATGATACAGTGCAGTCCCCCAAAAACACTGAGGTCTTGCCGATCGTTTGAAGATCATGTTCCCAGTTTCCGTATCCAACATTTTGCTTTCCGAACTGCACGCTGAACCAGATGGGTGAAAGAAAGCAACGTTCCATGTTTTCGAATCAATTTTTGGTTTCCGTGTCTGTGACGTTTACAATCCTGTCATGCAGGGGCTGCTTGAGCGGCCAGTGATACAGGCTGAGCTGGTCCGCAAACAGAAGGTGCTCATTGACCAGTGATTTCCCGTTGTGAAGGGACACTCGGGAAACTCGACTTCAGGTGCTCATTGACCAGTACAGGCTTGATGTGGACCAGATTCACGCGGCTAACCAAGACCGACTAAGCCCTTTCACGCAGACTCATTTAGGAGCAAGAGGACGCTACTAGTAGCTCCTGGCCATACTAGTAACAAGAAGCTACCAGGAACGAAGGGCATCGCTACTAGGTGAAAGAAGCTACTATTCGGCACAAGATAAGGCCAATTTCACGGCCAACGAAGAAAAGGTCGACCATTGCGACGCAGGTGGGACAATTTCCAAATTGAAAAGGTGGAACACGATGTCCTGATTGTCTTGGCAAGTGTGAAACTTTCCAAGTTTGGTCGATGAGTTCTTTTGGAGTTGCCGTGTTTCCGTGGTCAGTGGAAGCGCAAAAGCGATGCCCGTTGCTCCTAGTAGCGTCCTTGCTCCTAGTAGTACGGCCAGGAGCCCCTAGTAGCGTCCTTGCTCCTAGTAGCGATGCCCTTTGTTCCTAGTAGCGTCCTAGACTAGAGAAAAACAACTGCTATACGCCAAGCTTGCATCTGCTTTGCATCTGCTTGCTTTGCTCATTTTTGTTCATTATCTTCTCTTTGAGCTTCGCAAGCCTGGCGTGGCCCTGCAGCGCCGTCCTATCTATCCAAGTGCTTGAGCAAAGCGCATGCTCATCCGTTCTTTTCGCTGCCGCGTTGAGGGCAGGGAGCCAGGTCCATCCTTGTTCTTGGCTAAATCGTTTCAAAACGCAACCTGGCTCTCCCCAGTTTCTCAGTCGCCACAGTTTCCATCACTTTCGGTCTTCTATTCTTTGACGCGCCCCTCCTTTTCGCAACAGGGTTGAGGGGTTTTAAGATCTCTTGACTCTTCACTGGATCCTTTTTGCAGGATGAGCTGGCTGACATTTATTCCATTTTCAGAGCGTCCTGTACCCATCAGTTGGAAAAAGGACAACACATAAATTAAGGTCTTTGCTTGGTCTTCAACGACTTTTTCAATCCTAATCACACCCGCAGCCTCCACCGCCACAACCTGCACCCTAAGGCCCTTTTATAAGGCCCTTGTTACTAGTAGCGTCCTTGCTCCTAGTAGTAAGGCCAGGAGCCCTAGTAGCGTTCTTGCTCCTAGTAGCAATGCCCTTTGCTCCTAGTAGCGTCCTTGCTCCCAGTAGCCTGGTGTTTCGGACGATTCGTGTTTCAGATGCACCAATCTTTGCCAACCTGCCTCCGGTGGCTGGTGCCATCTTCTGGGCTCGCAGCCTCCGGACACGTCTTCAGGAGAAACTGCAGTTTTTTTTTTTGTTTTTGTTTTTTTCAGTGGCCTAATAGCAAAAGGGAACTAATAGCGATGGCCTCCAACCTAAGACCGATGGCCTCCACTGCAGTTTTTCCCATAGAGTGGGTTTGGAAGTATCTAAAGTAGTAGCAAGCAAGCTAATAGGACCCAGAAGCCCGGGCCTGAACGATTTGGTTCCTAGATTTTTGGGAAACTGCAGTTTTATGATTTCACAGGTCAAGTTTCCACGAGAGATACGTGAAACAGATTTGCTTCCATGCGGTTCAGTCAAGGCATTTGGTAGTCTTAAGGCAATGCCAGGAGTTTGGCCTCGCAATTCTTTCCACACTGGTTCTCGGGAGTTTCAAGGAAGCATTGAAACCAAAACGTTCTCATTGAGAAACAGGAGGCATTGAAGATCGTTGCCTTGCAAGCTTAGAGGGAGCAAGGAAGGGCCTCACGCGCCGTGAGGAGCCTATGCCCAAGATTTTGGCGTACAACGAGCTCATGCGTGAGGTGAGGGTTGCAGTGAAAGGGATGTGGATCTCCAGAGCTCTGGAATTCTTTATGCAAATAACTCATCAAAGTATGCGATCGGACGCTACTAGTAGCAAAGGGCATCGCTACTAGGAACAAGAACGACAAGAACGCTACTCGGAGCAAAGGGCATTACTTTGCGTCGTGTCGTGGTAGCGTTTTTCATCCCATCGTCGATTCTTTCTTCAGGTCCCTGAGAGCTTCAAGGAGCTGCTCCGCATCCACGATCAAACCCTACAGGCAGATGACGACGAGACAATTTTCCTTTAGGTTGGAGGCCATCGCTACTAGGAGCAAGGACGCTACTAGGAGCAAAGGGCATCGCTACTAGGAGCAATGTTCGCTACTAGGGGCTCCTGGCCTTACTAGGAGCAAGAAGCTAGTCGGTTGGAGGCCGCTTTTAGTTTTCACCTCCAAGAGACTCGGAGATGACGTGAGATGTGCAAGAAACATTAATACTCAAGAACCTATATGTATATAGCTCGAAATGCCAAAAGCACACAATGCAGCCACGGCTCTCGTCACGACTGATGGGGGAATTACGGTATGCATTGGGCCAGTCCTCGCCACCAGAAAGCCATGCGTCTATATATAGAAGGGAAATGAATGGAAAAGAGAACAGAGGAAGGTAAAGGATCTTTAAAGGGAATCCTACCTTCCTAATTGTATCCCCAGAATCATTTGTATATTCATTCTGAGATATTTCCGGCCCATGCTGAGACCTTGGATGAATATGAGAAGCGCCGATACTCGGAATGGAAGCAAGAGGCGAAAGTGGGACCTTTGCTTTTCATATGTTTTGAAGCAGAAGGGACCTCAAATAAACATCACTTCTTTCTTCACTTCTTTTGCAGAGGTCACCTAGTCTTTTTTCGTCATTCCATTGGCAGTTTATTTGTCATTGTTGTACAAAAAAAGTTGAGTTTCCGCACAAATCTATAGCTTCTTGTTACTACTAGTAAGGCACTTGTTACTAGTAGCGATGCACTTGTTCCTAATAGCTTCTGGTTTATCCCAATGCTCTGCTTTTTGAGGCAGTTGAAGAGGCTGCAAAGCGGTTGCACATGCGGCTGCTTCGTCGCCACGACAGGACTGTGAGTTGGAAGTTCCACCAGAAATTGACAGCTTTCTGCCCTTGCATGAAACAATGTTCGCTACTAGGAACAAGTGCATCGCTACTAGTAACAAGTGCCTTACTAGTAGTAACAAGAAGCAATTAGAAACACAACCATAACCATTCTAGAGTCTAGAGAGGACATGGAATGACCAGAAGTTGCTGAGAAGTGCTAGGCATTTCATTTGCCCCCACAATCTAGGAACCAAATCATTAGTGCGAGCGCTTCTTCAAGGAAGCTTCCCCGCCCCCTCAGGTGGGGGGGAGCTTCCTTGGAGAAGCGTGAGCTATCCTTCGTCCTAGCTAGCTTCCTATCGCTAGTAGCGAAGTACTCCCTCACTTAATGAAGTAGGAGTGGGCTTAAAAGAAGAACCTTGCTCAGAAGTTTTTCATGAGGAGCATGGGTGCATCAGTCTTATGGCTCCATGAACACCACTGAGCGCAACCCTAACCCCCTGCAGTCTGAAAACCTTGGAGCGCCCGAAGACCCATGGCTTTCCACATCACAAAGGAACAAAGGTACATCAGAAGGGGTAAATCAAGGTAAAGGTACCTCATCGAATATTGTGCTGGCCTCAACCTTGCTGCACTTGAGTCTTAGGAACCCCTTTCTGATAGCTTTATTGAACGCTGTGATTGCTTTTGACAGGTTCATACACTTACAACGTCTCATCTATCACCATTTTTTTTACCCACGAAGAAGGAGGAACTTGTCCCACCCAACAAACCTGCTTCACAGTACCAGTTTCAGCACCAACATGACACATGCCAATGTGAAAGCGACCACAACCTCTAAATCCGTGCATCGTCCGTAAAACTATGTGCAGGAGCAACAGAAAGCCAGAGCGACTTAAAACAATGCAACAAAAGATCATTGGCTCAATTCACATGTTCAAGGCTTGAGACAAGTTGATCAGAACCCCTGCAGGTTTAAATTATCTTGCAGGCTTCCATAGCTTTAGATACGAATTTGAATAATGAATAATATAGGCAAAAAGGCATCTTGATATAGTCACTGTTTTGATTCTGTCATTCTTAAAGTCTTTATTTAGTGTTAGAATCTTGGCTATTCACATTCATCATCCAAGTTCCAGAACAGGCTTCTTAAAGTTCCCCTTGATGTGGCCCAAAAATCATTGGACACCAGCGCTTTAAGTCATGTTTCGAATAATGATCCTTACGGGCATCACAAGGTAAACGTCAAGGCTTTTTGACAATCACCACACTCAGCAGCTCAAGGAGAAACAGGCTAAAGCAAGAACACATGAAGTACAAAAAACATATTTCAAGCATGAAGTACAAAACACATCATTCACCTCCACTCAGATCGGATCGACAGAAATCTACTCTGAAAATCGTGTGCTTGGACTCTTGAAGGCAACGTCGACAAAGGGCATTTTGCAAGAGTCCTCGGTTGCCCTCGGCCATTCATGGCTGGAACAAAATACTGCAAAACATCGCTAGTAGATTGGAGGCCATTACAATTAGGTTGGAGGACTAGGTTGGAGGCCATCGCTTCTAGGTTGGAGGCCATTGCTATCAACGAGATTTGCGACCTACAAAGGCCTGGGATTGGAACGACCTTCAGCCACCAACGCCTCAGCTAGGTAGCAGGATTCGACGTGGCCGTTTCGATTTCAGTGTACCACAAGAACCCAAGCGGAAAAGAACCCAAGGAGGACAGGCTGAGGAAATGGACATCCAAAGAGCGAACAGAAAAAAGGAGGGACTGGAGGTCCAGGCATCGCACCACTCTCTGAGAATGTTCAGGTTCTCTTTTCTTGTCTTTTCTTGGTTTTTGATAGAGGAACCAGGTGCTTTTCATGAACTCTGGCCTGCACAGCTACATAGCTGTCCCCTACATTTAGTTCCCACACCGGGAACGGCTGCTTTCCATTCTCCTGCACCAGCTGCTTGCCCATGTCCATGTCCTGTGGGCTTGTGGTCGCCTTGCGAACCTCCCGATCAACCTCCTTGTGACACCTCCACCCTGGAAGCCATGGCCTCCAACCCAAGAGAAATGGCCTCCACCCTAATGGATCTGGGTGTAAGGGATAAATGTAATTCCTTCGTATTCGTGACTTGGTAGGCATTTTGGTTTGTCCAGTTCTTGCTTTCTGCAGTCCCATTCGTCTCACAGGACAAGAAATCTAATAATGTTAAGTTTCCCTAAAAATCTGGAAGCCAACTCATTAGTGCGAGCGCTTCTTCAAGGAAGCTTGGCGGGGGAGCTTCCTTGAAGAAGCGTGAGCTATCCTGCGTGCATACTAGCAGCTTAATTAAGGTACTAGCTACCTCTCCCTACTGGCTACCTACCTCTACAGCCTACCCCCCCCCCGCGCGCGCGAAAAAGAAAGTTTCTTTCAACATATTTTTGCTGCGGGCTGAAGTAGCAGCACTGCACCAAGATGGAATAGGGGCTCTTTTGATTCTGAGGACTGGGCTTCTGAAGGTGAACTTCGATCCAGCTCTCGTGCGGTTGTTGCGAGAGGTGACTTGGAGGACTTGGATCGACTTGGACTTTGCTGGCTTGGACTTTCTAGGTGCGCTTCTTCCTCATCTACGGCATGGAGGTGGAATTGATGTGGAATTGCCCAAATCTGTTCCAGCTGAAGCCGAAGCTCAAATCTCAGGTGCCACCTGAAGCTTTGACGATCTACAACATGGTGGACACATACCGCACCTGGACCAGCCAGTTTGAGCCTGAAAACGACTTTGACACAAGCAGAGAAAGAATCAAGCAAGTGTTTAGCTGAAGCCCCCCCAAAAAAAAGGCTCCTAGACATTTGTAGCCATGGGTTTAGATTCAGCGGCCAGCCATTCGGCTCTGATTGGTCGGGGAGAAGATATCGATTCTGCTCTTGCCTGTCCTGTTGAAATGCAGCGTCCTTGCTCCTAGTAGCGATGCCCTTGTTCCTAGTAGCTTCTTGTTACTAGTAGTAAGGCACTTGTTACTAGAAGCGATGCACTTGTTCCTAGTAGCGTCCTTGCTCCTAGTAGTACGGCCAGGAGCCCCTAGTAGCGTTCTTGCTCCTAGTAGCGATGCCCTGGTTTCCACTTGGTTTCCTCCCCGAGAGTCTTGTCTTGTTTGAGCAAGCCTGGTCGTTGTGCCCGGTGTGTCCGCCGGCCTTCGGCCTTCAGGTTGGATCACATTGTTGGGCTGTACAACTCAGTTCTCACAGATCTACTGCCAGTGGAGGCTGTCCTTTCCAAACGCGGTCATTTCCGTCTTGTGACATGTGGTCGAATGTCCTTTGCGGTCTTTTCTTTGTCGCAAACATTTATACGTACAAGAGGAATGTTTGTGACGGCATTTGTACCACTTGTACGAGACGGCATTTTCTGTTAGGAGCCGCTGCTTGAAGACCGGATCCTGAAAATGGATAATGCGCTGGTGTGACCCTCAGTATTCCGTCGTTTCCCTAAAGATCTAGGAACAGCTCTAAGTAGCCTGGTTAACTAAGCTTAGTTTTTCATAGGCGTCTACTGGTCGCCGTCGTCCTGAGGCCCCTGGGCTCACAGAGCTGAAATGGTCTCGAGAGGATCAGATCCCGGACTTTATCGCAGAAGCGATGAAGGTCGTCAGCGATGTGTCAGCCATTGTGGACATCATGAAGGCCGAAACACATCGTTTTGAACATCGTTTAGTGTTTGGTGGCGGTTTGTTTAATTTTCGGAACCAAGATTTTTTTTCTTCGATAAGATAGTGTCAAGGGCAACTTGCGAAAGATCAGCAACATCCTCTCGCAGTGGTGCAAGGACTCAATGTACCTTGGCTCCATTTGGCATCCAGTCGAAGTGACTGTTGCTTTTGGGCCGCTAGGGTCGCTAGGGCCACTAAGGCTACAATGCGTTTCGTAAAAAGGAGGCCATCGCTAGTGGTTCTGTTAACACCGCCAGCGTTCGAGGCTGGAACGGAAGCGTGGAGCGAAGCCTGTGTCGGTGGAGGAGTTTGAGCAGAACCACAAAGCTCGCGTTGGGGTTTGCCTCATGAACATGACGGTGCGGAGCCCAACACCGCGACTGGAGCGCTTGTCGTTCGCTTGTCGTTCGCTTCAGGATGGAGGAAAGGAGATTCATCGCTGCAAGTCTGCAAAAGGTTTTGGGCAAAGTAGCGTCCGATCGCTCCTAATAGTAAGGCCAGAAGCTCCTAGTAGCGTCCGATCGCTCCTAGTAGCGATGCTAGGAGCCCCTAGTAGCGTCCTTGAGAGTCTGCAGAGAGTTGACTTGTTTATCTTGTTTGAGGTTTCGTCAAAGACTCCAGTGAGTCTCTGAAGATCTCAAAGACGGCGCCAACTTGGAAGGCCAAACTCAGCTTTTGTCATGTTTGGTCTTTGGAGGCGTCCTTGCCTCATGAAACGTTTTTGATTTTGACATGAGCCCTGAATTGCTAATCCAGGCTGTTCAATGACGATGGTTCAAGAGTTCCTCTCTTTGATCGGCAGAATTACCCTTCGGCTTTCCTAATTATTGCGAGGGTTCTCTGTGAGCAGAAGTCTGTGAACAGACTGAAATGTTTTTTGTGACTTGCACGTCATCGACTTGTCAACAAAGTCTTGACCAAGTGGCAACTTCCAGGCCTATGTGGACTTTGTCAACAACGTTGTCATCGAGGGCTTTGTCTCGGCCATCGCAGTCTCCCTCCAGTGCCTCGCGAAAACCGCATAATTACAGTCGACTTTGCCATTGGGATGTGAAGGATGCCGAAGCGCTCTGCCCTTTGCTGTTTGGAAACAGGTACCTTTGTGAGATCCTCGATCCTTTGATCATTGCCAGACACGAGATGCTGCCTTTATTTGCCTCTCGAAGCAGAGTTGAGTGATTCTGGGGAACTGTTGTTGGAATTGGAACCTGTCCACAGTACCATGAAATAGTAACACAGTCGATGTTGTTTGCATTGGCCGTTCGGGGGCGTAATGGGTTAATGAAGGACAAACAGTAAAAACAACCGAGCAGAAAAAAAGTGGTTAGAGACACTACCAGGAACAAGAACGCTAGTAGGAGCAAGAAGGCTACTAGGGGCTCCTGGCCTTACTACTAGCAGCAAGAACGCTACTAGGGGCTCCTGGCCTTA